GTTCACCTGCCCTTTTCTAGATTGCGACCGACACGAAATCCTACAAAGTAACATCAGTGTCAGAGACTTTAGTAAACATGTCATTTATAACAGCATATGTCAAGTCTAGTTAGGTATGAGATGGTAATGCATGTACTGCCGGTTCATTATGTCAAATGTTAAGGCTAAGACTATGTATGGTTTCATTTTCATAATTACTGGTTTAGGAGGAACGCATGCGTCAAGCGATACTGGGTCACATCACCATTCTGTCACAATATTCATCATTATTATAGCAACAAAGGTGCAATGTCATGTTGCAGCAGATTACAAACATAATAAAACAAAAGTAAATAGTAATTAATTGTAAATAATGAAACCATATTTCAAAATGTAGAAGTACCACGGAAACAAAAGACAAAACTTGTTGCTGGAGATGATTAAATCCAACAACATAATCTCATCAAAGCATTCAGTGAACAGCGATATAAAATACATTGTTGTATTAAGATCAGTGAATTCAGCACATTCCTAATCTAGACACATAAATGATGAAATATCAAATAAAGTCATATTATTTTATTTTATCTATATGGTTTGACCAAGGTTTACATGGCGGGTGTCGTCAATGAAGCAGAGGAAGCTTACTCTTTTGGAACATCTGGTATTATTTTCCTTGTACTTTTTCAGGAGTCTCCGATCAATTTTTTTTATATTTTGCCTTAGTTTTATTGATATTGTGTTTGGATTGTGAATATGTTTACATGTTGGTATTTTCTTTTTATTTCCAATTGTCAGAAAAATGTGGTTAATAAGAAATCTACACAATGTACAAATCCAAGCTTTTATCAAACCTTTCAACAGTCGATGGGGTTATCTAAATGACATAACGTTCGTGAGGCATAACTATTGTAATATATATATCTAAGAATGTATGAACAGTGTTCGATGCTAGGCGTTGATGAAGTATCAGAGCTACAGGACATACAATTGATTATTTGTATGGATAAGTTTAGCAAGTGTGCATACTATAGATAATAGATGTATTCTGCACACTCTAGTGGACGTCCGCTGCTGATGCGGACCTCCAGCTGGCGTACATAGTGTTTGCTCAGTTGTTCTTCCAAGGCAGTGATAGGTTTAGGTGTTGATTGAGGCCGGAACATGGCGGGTCTCGTTTAGATATAGGTGTAATAACATTTACAGTTGGCGAGCTGGTCTGACATTTTAATTTACTTAGTCTTAAAGACAGCTGACTATTTCGCTCAGAATGTTTCAAAATTCTCTGCGGAAGTATGCAAATATACTTCTTGGAGTAAATCAACATTTAGTCTTAACGGTGCAAGACCGGGAACTAGCATTTTCCATGAATGTAAAAATGCACTGGAAATTGCGCGTGAAGTCATTTCCAGGCTCTCCTCTGATCTTTTGTCAGGCTAAATGAGGCGACCGTGTACTTTTGATCATTTTTGTGCTACAAGCATATGCTATACTCATTATGATTCGGTTATTACATACACATAACATATGTCTCTCTTTGTTAGCATTCGCCATCGCTCCGTGTTAGAGCTATATATCCATGATTTTGGAAGAAGAAAACGGACAACATATGTGTGTATTTACCTTGGTAACACACACATAAAGCTCAAGGAGAAAAGCTTTAACTAGCGTGAAATAGACACATCATTGGTCCTAGGCCTCACGCTACTGGGCCTATCAGCCAAATGATCCGTGAACAACAAAGCGAATACAAACTCGTGATAATTTGTCTTCATCAGCGTTATAAACATATCACCATTACTAAATGGGCATGTTTACAAGTGATATTTGCGCGCACCGTGTCGAATGAGAAACATCGGATTCCTCAAGGGTTGATGGCCTAACCGGCTTGTTGCAGCAGCTGGAACAACGCCGACAGTGTCAGCATCCCTCATTGACAGAATTATAACACCCCAACAATTTAAGTATTTTCTTTGTCCCTTCGGGACGACTTGACAACTCTCATAATATATCGCTTTTAAATTGAGAAGGGTATAAAATTCATAAGTATTCCAACAAAAAAGGTAATAATTTATCCAGACAGTTTTCGTCTGTTCGTATCAGTAGGATCCTTTGACATGTCTGAGTACAAAGGACTTTTGTGCTAACTGTATATCCACGGCTTGTTGGTTCCAAGTTACCAATTTTCACGGTATGTCGTTTCCTGAAGGCCGACACTTTTTCCAGATACCTCTAAAGACAGTGTATGCGCTTGTGTTTAACAACTTTTGATTACTTGAAAATGTTGGCTATACAATGACAAAAACGTTTTGTAGATATGTTAATCACATTTAAGACTCGCCTCTGTATTATGTAATCCAAAGGCAGTTTCTGTCTTCCATTTTCCATACTTTCATACTTCCATTCTTTTTACCGTTTATTTCAAACCGAGACAACGACATAGTGTATATGTATATATAGAGAGTAAAACTACAGTGCATCGATTAGATAAATGGAAAGAAAAACAACAATTGGTGGTGAAATGAAACGTTGTCTCGCTAGAGTTTTCACATATGATATATATCATATGTGACGTTACATAAGTCAATCGACTATCAATTTGGTCCGAAAACGTTAGCGAAAAACATTTGTCGCGCTGAACTGATTTTTCCCATTATGTAGATATGGACAAATATCGATGACATATACCCCCCCCCCCCCCCCCCCCCCCCCCCCCCCCCCCCCCCCAAAAAAAAAAAAAAAAAAAAAAAAAAAAAAAAAAAAAAAATAAATAAATAAATAAAAATAAAAAAAAAGAACACGCACACAATCGACGTGTAAACAAAGCCGTGAATTTTGAATAAAAATCCTGATTAAATGAAGTTTCACTTCTTGACGAAAAGATCTCTGGTTCCAAAACCGTTGACCACATAGGTAGCTTTGATTGTGTTTTCATCAGAGGCTAATTTTTTTCAAAGAACTGATCAAAATAGATCACAAAGAACATAAAAAGCCCTTTAATTTATCTTTTTGATTTATCAATATATAACAACCAGAAATGGAAATAATACCTTTGGCAAACTTTTCTTCGTCTGCCCCTTCCAACGGAGACAATTTTCAAAGTTGTAGTATATATGTGATGATTTTATTTTCTCCTTCGTGAATTTTCGATTTCTAGATAGCAACACGCCTGCTTCCCCAACCAATGGTAGTTACATGTCGATCTGACATTTAATTGCTTTTTCCTGATATCACAATATTAAGGCAAGATTTCGACAGCTGGCCTACAAACTCACAGCTTAGGATCTAAAGGGATAAGAGTGGAAGATTATGTTATTGTTATAGTAATTGATTTTCATGAAAGCCTACATCAGAAGAGTATGTTTGGAACCTAAATTACTTAGATGTCATAGTTTGATAAAGGATGAGTGATAGGAATGTTGACCAAAGTTGCAATAATTCTCCTGTAAGAAAGTGAAGACAAGTTATAATTATTATAATTTTACAGTAATCATTATAATTGTTATTATAATATTGTTATAGATTGAAGTCTATCTGACCAAATGTGATAAACCAAACAGTAAAACTTTTTTCAGTGCCTATGTATATCCACACTACCATTCCTGCTGTTTTGAAGCTCATTAAAACACATGCAATATTCTGAAATCCGATAATAGACTATTTCTCAATGACGTCTTTGAATTACAATTATTCCCCATACTTTTGATTCCCACAATGAATAACTGCTGGTGTTTTAAGCTCATGGCACTTTAATATCGGACAATCACACGACAGACAAGTGATGGCTCATCAATAAGTATGTGTGATCATTGTCTCTTATATCTGCTACTTCATATAAACAAATTCATATTGATTGCAGATTCACGATAAAAGCTGTAAAACATAATAAGCACTTCAATGAAATTAATCTGTCTGTCAAAATTGATGTTGCGGATAACGACAGTTCTTGAGTCCACTAGAGACAAATAAAAAGCATACGTGGTGTAATTTGTGGCGGAAAATGTAATAAAACCATTGCCATTAAAATTCACAAACTAATAACATTTCTACAATTAAGAAAAACATCAATACCATATTAGGATTTTCAATTAAATCTGGTATCATAGCTAAACGTAATTTCATACTTAGATGTTTCCATGTATCAACAGTCCAAGTAAAATGATAATAACGACCATGAACTTCTCCAACAGGCCAAATAAAAGGACTATAACGACCACGAACTTCTCCAACAGGCCAAGATAAAGGATTATACCGACCATGAACTTCTCCAACAGGCCAAGTAAAAGGACTTTAACGACCATGAACTTCTCCAACAGGCCAAGTAAAAGGACTATAACGACCATGAACTTCTCCAACAGGCCAAGTAAAAGGACTATAACGACCATGAACTTCTCCAACAGGCCAAGTAAAAGGACTATAACGACCTAACACTTCTCCAACAGGCCAAGTAAAAGGACTATAACGACAATGAACTTCTCCAACAGGCCAAGTAAAAGGACTATAACGACCATGAACTTCTCCAACAGGCCAAGTAAAAGGACTTTAACGACCATGAACTTCTCCAACAGGCCAAGTAAAAGGACTATAACGACCATGAACTTCTCCAACAGGCCAAGTAAAAGGATTATACCGACCATGAACTTCTCCAACAGGCCAAGTAAAAGGACTTTAACGACCACGAACTTCTCCAACAGGCCAAGTAAAAGGATTATACCGACCATGAACTTCTCCAACAGGCCAAGTAAAAGGACTTTAACGACCACGAACTTCTCCAACAGGCCAAGTAAAAGGACTTTAACGACCATGAACTTCTCCAACAGGCCAAGTAAAAGGACTTTAACGACAACGAACTTCTCCAACAGGCCAAGTAAAAGGACTTTAACGACCATGAACTTCTCCAACAGGCCAAGTAAAAGGACTATAACGACCATGAACTTCTCCAACAGGCCAAGTAAAAGGACTTTAACGACCATGAACTTCTCCAACAGGCCAAGTAAAAGGACTATAACGACCATGAACTTCTAACACAGACCAAGTAAAAGGATTATATCGACCATCAACTTCTCCAACAGGCCAAGTAAAAGGACTTTAACGGCATAACACTTCTCCAACAGGCCAAGTAAAAGGACTATAACGACCATGAACTTCTCCAACAGGCCAAGTAAAAGGACTTTAACGACCATGAACTTCTCCAACAGGCCAAGTACAAGGATTATACCGACCATGAACTTCTCCAACAGGCCAAGTAACAGGATTAGAACGACCATGAACTTCTCCAACAGGCCAAGTAAAAGGATTATACCGACCATGAACTTCTCCAACAGGCCAAGTAAAAGGACTATAACGACCATGAACTTCTCCAACAGGCCAAGTAAAAGGACTTTAACGACCATGAACTTCTCCAACAGGCCAAGTACAAGGATTATATCGACCACGAATTCCCAACAGGCCAAGTAAAAGGATTATATCGACCATGAACTTCTCCAACAGGCCAAGTAAAAGGAATATAACGACCTAACACTTCTCCAACAGGCCAAGTAAAAGGACTTTAACGACCATGAACTTCTCCAACAGGCCAAGTAAAAGGATTATAACGACCATGAACTTCTCCAACAGGCCAAGTAAAAGGACTATAACGACCATGAACTTCTCCAACAGGCCAAGTAAAAGGACTATAACGACCATGAACTTCTCCAACAGGCCAAGTAAAAGGATTATAACGACCATGAACTTCTCCAACAGGCCAAGTAAAAGGACTTTAACGACCTTTTATTTAATTGTAATGATATGTATACGGAAGAGAACAAGAGCACGCGTTTTTCATTCTGAAGAAGTCGCCCTCAGATATTACAATTTTAAGCACCAACATGTTATTCTCATGAATTAGATGTAAATATTCTATAATACCATAATTTCGTAATATTGAAATTGCTAAATTTACCAAACTGCATTTTTTACAATCATGTTTTTAAGTTGTTTTGTTAGTTTGCTTCTGAAGTCCATTTTGTACCGGCGCCCCTTCACTTGTTTTTACGTTTATACGCGGGAACAGTCTTTTCGAAAATAGTTCTAATAAATGTATTAACTTATTGGCCCTAGTCATGAACAATGTATTTTGAGTTGACATGTCATATAAAAAGAGTCAAAAGGAAACGAAAATGAAAAATGGCAAGAGAAAGACAAAGGGATCCTGGTAATGTCATGTTCTCAACATAAGAACTTCGTGACTGGCAATATATTTTATAACGTACACTGATATTTGGCAAAAGTATGGTGACGACCATACAAAGTTGTTTTGTTTTTCATGTGGAGGTCTGACTCTATTAATGAAATAAATTTACTATAAATAAGTATTTAAATATCGGAGAATTTGTTAGATATCAATTCTAACGTCTGAGGAGTAAGAATCACGATGTGAAAAAATTGCATTATAATGTTATACAAGAATCATCATGCTTATGATACAACAGTGCTAAGTAGCTAAGACACATTAGTCATTTGACGATATTATGTATCTACGTTACGTGGTTATATAATTTGTTATAGGAAAGGAATTCTGCAAACTCTTCAATATACTAAAACCTTTTCTCCCATCCAACGTTTTTGTAGAGTCGTTTAAAAAAATGCTGCAAATGATGAATGTTGTCTTATACAAAAAGATACCAATTTTCTTACATTATTTCACGATGAGGATACCATTTTATCGTACGACTTATTCCCATCAGTTGCGGTAGAGCTATATCGTTTTGGTCGCCAGATTGAATGACTAAAGGGGAACAACTCCCATTCTAAGCGATGACTGTGTCTATGATAATTAATTTTAACATTTGTGTTCAGGGTAAAAATGGGTAGACACGACAAAACTAACCTGGATAACTCATCATTCAAGTCTTTTAATCATTATAGAAAAACAAACGTCTATGTATAATTGTTTTCAAGATTGTTTATTGGAGACGATATTGATGTCCTATTTATTTTTGTTATATCACATTTTATATCTCTTAAAGATTTATGGAATCTTTGATCTGAATCACTTCTTATCACTAAAACATGTGGAATTTTAGTTTAGGTGTCATTTTAACACTGTATGTTAGAACGTTGAATTCGAGTTAAATTGTTTGTTTCATTGGGATTAGAGTTTGAAGCGAATTGTCGTTACTGAGTATAATAACTTCTTTTAAATACTAGTAATCATTGTGTTGTCTTCAAATAACTTCGAATTATTTTGTATTCAATTTATTTTGAATTGATTTCCGATCAAGTTGTAATTTCACTAGATTTGACTAGGACTGAATTAAAGTTGGATACCGTTAGTTGGTAAGTATTACACTAAGTGTGTACCAGTTATTAGAACCTTTGCACTGTGCAAAGATTGTGTATATCTGAGTTATCAACTCGTCTTAGGAGGTTTATCAGAAAAGAATAATAAGACATTACGATAGTTCAATAAAAAATGTTTACTTAATTAATGACATCGCGACAGGGAGTTTTATTCTCTACAAGGTTTATTGCTAATACCTTCAGGTAAAGTATGATACATAGTAGTTATTATTGAATGTTGGTGAATAAAAAATATAAATAATAATAATAATAAAAAAAAAATAATAATAATAAACGCCTTCGGACAGTGTGTTAAAATGTTCGGTACTCTGAGTTGGTTTCTTCTTAGAGAAGTTTTACTCTTTCAGGATAGTATAAAGTTTTTCTACTTAAAGACGGGACAGTGTGACAAAGAAACAAAAGTTCGTTCAGTTTCCAAACATCCTCGACTCAAAATAAACTTGAGATTTTGACTAACGCTCTTTTTATCGATAAAAAGTAATTAGAATTGTTTGTCAACTACGACAGACTCCTAAGAGTGACATGTCACCTGAAGTATCCACTCCACCAACTGTTGACCACTACAGTGGTCAGTGGCAGAACCATTAAAAGGGAGAGAGAAAACTGTTAACCATGACTGACAATGGTCATATTATCATTATATATATCAATATAATATCAAATTACAGATTATTTTATAGATTTAATGATCCCTAAATACATTCCCATCAATGATAATCAGACACTACTGGTTGATGTTATTATATTGTTTATTTCACAATCATTGGCACCAGCGGTCAAAATAAGGCACGTGATAAACTGACATCATTATACAAACCTTTAGAAGAAACAAAGTTTGTACCTGGTTTTGTTACCTGCATTGTGTACATACAGTTTGAGTATTATCGATATTTACATGTCGTTAAATTTATTGGCAATGTATAAAATCCCGATATCGGTATAAAAAATATCTTATCTGAATCAATCTAATGACGTAATTCATCATGTGTTGTACCTATTTTCTACAACACCTCTACAGGCTTACATGGTTTCTCCATTACAGCCTTTTTCATTGAGTAAATGAACGATGGATATGTTAACCGTGAAGCTAGAAAATGACATTAATAGTAAACAGGCACCACCACAAAGAGGGCTTAACACATGTCATAAACATCACATGTATCAAATTTCACGCCATGATCATCGAAAGAAATATTTTCAAATATATTACTGTTAAAGTGATTTACGCAATCCAATTTAACTTGCATCCGCATCGAAATAAATGTACAAACACGTGGGACACAAATACGCGTGCATCATATATGTACTTATACACTATAAAAACAAATGACATGTACTGATTATAGAAATGTACATATGCAATAACGAATGAAAAGTTCTAAGATGTAATTGAGTGATATTGACCGACCTAATTACCTCACGTGCCTGGTACATTAGGTACAGAGAATTCTATTAATGATATCAACTGATTCACTAGCGAGAGTACTATAACTGGCCACTGTAAATGCTTAAGCTATATTGAAAAGCAATTAACACACATTTTAGTATATAACATGGTGCTATAATATAAAAGTTTGACACATTTAACAACATACAGAATAAGTTTATTGATATTGAATTTCTGCTATCAAAAACGTACAGCGAACATTTTAAAATTTGTTGACTGAAATACGCTTCATGACGTCATGACATGAATCTCTATTTCAGTGAATAAGGAAGATAAGTTATATCAGTCATATTTCCCATAATTCTAATCGTTTGGCAAATATGTTAAGGCCACTTCAAATCTTTGGTATGGAAATAGATAGAACATTTGTAGAATTGAATTTCTGCAATACGTGATGTATAATGTGATCGACAGTGGGGATGTTACACGTATTTCTACTGTCTTCACAGGATTAAATTACTTACAAAAATATCACATAACACTATCATTCAAATTTCACTTTAGAATACGGATATCGTACACACTGTAAAATATCTAAAATTTTTAATCTAATTTTCGTCTGTACAAAAATATTACAATACATTCCATCACAAATTAACTTGCGGACATCTACATACTTATATATTTGCTTTGCGTATGTTTCGTAAAAATACCATAAAAGTAAAACATTTATTTATAACCGCCTTTAAACTAATATAAAACCTGCCTTTGTATTTTGTTTGAAAATGTACCAATAATAAATCGATTTTCATTGCAAGATCAAAAAAAATAAATCATGGACATCCCTGTCAATAGAAGAATTGTATTTTGTTTATATAAGCTATGGTAACCTGACGTCAGAGAATGTTTCACTTCCGCCACTACGATTTCAGAAGCTTTCATTTGATTAGCTACAAACACGTGATCATTTCCTTTGTTGAATCCTGGAAGGCACTTTGCACATGGCCGGTCAGGCAGTAAGTTGACGAAGCTATCCAACGATTCTCTCATGTTTCCCAGAATTCCTGGTGGCGGAAGCGGAGGTGGTGGTAGATTGTCACAGTCGCAGTCGGCAGGTGTGGTGTGTGACATTGGCAGAGCTGTCGTTTCTGAAAGTACAGTGTATGGTTTTACAAAAATATGCATTTTCATCGATACGCGATTTTGTAGATTATCTCACTTAATTAGTACTAAAATATTTGTCTACATATCATTCCACAGACAGATGAACATATAGACTAAGTGTAACCACGAAAATAATGAAAATAAAAGCTCGATGAAAGTTACATTTTACTCAAGAAGTCGATATTATCTGGTTGTGTACTATATATGTCTTGAAATATGATGAAGACGATTTCTGTTCATGTGTCTTACATAACACGATTGAAATATGATGAAGACGATTTCTGTTCATGTGTCTTACATAACACGATTGAAATATGATGAAGACGATTTCTGTTCATGTGTCTTACATAACACGATTGAAATATGATGAAGACGATTTATGTTCATGCGTCTTACATAACACGATTGAAATATGATGAAGACGATTTCTGTTCATGTGTCTTACATAACACGATTGAAATATGATGAAGACGATTTATGTTCATGTGTCTTACATAACACGATTGAAATATGATGAAGACGATTTCTGTTTATGTGTCTTACATAACACGATTGAAATATGATGAAGACGATTTCTGTTTATGTGTCTTACATAACACGATTGAAATATGATGAAGACGATTTATGTTCATGTGTCTTACATAACACGATTGAAATATGATGAAGACGATTTCTGTTTATGTGTCTTACATAACACGATTGAAATATGATGAAGACGATTTCTGTTTATGTGTCTTACATAACACGATTGAAATATGATGAAGACGATTTCTGTTTATGTGTCTTACATAACACGATTGAAATATGATGAAGACGATTTATGTTCATGTGTCTTACATAACACGATTGAAATATGATGAAGACGATTTCTGTTTATGTGTCTTACATAACACGATTGAAATATGATGAAGACGATTTCTGTTTATGTGTCTTACATAACACGATTGAATATGATGAAGACGATTTCTGTTCATGTGTCTTACATAACACGATTAAAATATGATGAAGACGATTTCTGTTTGTGTGAAGACGATTTCTGTTCATGTGTCTTACATAACACGATTGAAATATGATGAAGACGATTTCTGTTCATGTGTCTTACATAACACGATTAAAATATGATGAAGACGATTTCTGTTTGTGTGAAGACGATTTCTGTTTGTGTGAAGACGATTTCTGTTTATGTGTCACGATTACAATGAACACGACAAAAGAAACAATACATCTGCCTTTTTTCTGTTTCATGACTTGTAATTCTAAAGTATTTGAGTAATTGAGAACATAGAGACTATACTGAAATCGTTCCAGTTCGGAAACATAATTTACGATTTTATCCAGACTATAGTTATTTACTCTTAATACAACAACTCAGTGAAGTAAAATATGATAAAAACCATTGATAGATTGATGCAGATTTAACATATTAAACACTACTTTAATGTAACAGTGTCTTATCCTTAGAATAAATCATGATTCAAAATGGAAATTTACTAATACAGTATATGTAAAATGAGTCATTTAAAATGATACAATAGTTTACTTTTTATTGATATGCACGACTTAAACAGCGTTGACAGTGTTGTAAATGCTATTAGCATATCAATATTTAGCACACATCTGTGATAATCTACAAGCAACACAACAGGACTACCCACTACTGGCACAACATCGCATAAACTACACAACATATCAATTTACATGATGTTGAGCAGATAAAGAGAAAATAATCAAAAGTGACGTTTAAAAAAGAACTGTTAAAAATTATTCAATACAAAGCATATATTAATATCATACACTTACATTATGTACATACAAACACTCTAAAATATACATCTTAATAACAGTTGGACAAAACAATATTTATTCAACATCTACTTTATACAAAACAAATCGAACATACACAGCTTAATTGCATACTAAACATACAAACGTTTAACAAACAAATTCACAACACCATGTGCACACAACAGCCATGATTTAAACAGGTAATTGCATTTTTGTCCTCATTTAATAGATCTTGAATTTAAATTAAAATTGTATTAATATGTTGGTATTTGTAGAAACGACGTTTGAACATGAAAAGCATATCGAGACAAGCACTATATAGTTTGATAAATACAACTGAAAGAAATTTCTTGTGGAGGAATCAATTTTCTGTTTTAGTAACGATCATCCAGATATTTAGTTTTCTAACATGAAAATCAATCCGACACCAGCAATTTTAATAAGATATCCATGTAAAGAGTGACAGCTGGATTGACCAAAGGGAAAGAAATTCATTGGTGTCCATCAATTTCACAAGAAATACTTTTGGTATTATAGAAAGTATAAAAAATTTATATTCATAATATGTCGAGTCAATCTTTTTCAATAAGTGTATTAAAGAAACATTGTGAAGTCGGTTAACCAATCTTCACTAAGAAGTAGATAACGATTAAATCCTGTGTACAAGAGGAAGTGAAATTTCCTGTTCATTATTATTAGGTGCTAGGATCAACACAGAAGCTTTGATATAACGATCAAATACAACACTTAAACACTAGAAATTACACACTGACAACAAAATTAATGTCTAAAGTCTTTGAAAAGAACTTTCAACAGCAATGCAACGAAAGAAGGTATAGAGTGATTAAAAAAGTCGTAACTCACGAAGAGAGGCGGATTGTAAACATTCCGAAAAGCACGTTTAACATGGTTAATGCAGTCTGAAGGTTAAAGGAGCGACAATATGGAAATAAATGACATAATGATAATTATGGAAGCACATACGTAATACATATCATGCGGGTTTGGTGAAATTATGGGATATCTCCTCGTGGTGGTCTAGTCTCGTCATCATCGCCATCACCACTCCCTGGGCCGTCCGTTCCTCCAATTTCAAAACCTGTAGGAGAGAGTTAACACTGGACTGTATGTTAAGGATGGTACAAGTTGAGCCCCAGGTCCATTGTGAAAAGGACCAATAACGTCGTTTAGACAAATAAATGTAAGCGAACATTGCCGCAAATCTTGCCATATACAGCGCAGCACTACACCAGAAATATATTCTGAAGCAATGTTTTATTTGCGCCACAAAGAGTGACATGACAAAGCTAGCAATTCATATTTTCTTTTCTTTGATTTTTTTTTCGGATCCATTACATTACTCAACATCATGTTCACTACTGCAATAGCATACAGATTAAAACTTTAATAATGACCCGATATCATATACATGCAACATGTTAACAAAGGTCATGGCACACTTGTGAAAGAGGGTTTATCTCAGAATGGTGGGCATGCTGGTGATTTTCTATGAAAGGATAGTGTAGTGGTGAGGTTGTAATTAGCGTTTCAAAATGGCATGCAGTTGTTTTACATGTTTCTCTTGTGTGAATCTACCCCAGCAATGAACCCATTTGTTCTGTTCAACAATTCGACACAAAAACTGTTTATAATATATGGTGACGTACATTTACGCTAACGTGACAATATCATACTATATTGTATTGTGACTAGCGTTACTAAAATAGCATTACACGTGGTATTTATAGCGAATAATCCATATTTCTAAACACATATAAATTAGACTATTCATGTTGATTTACAGGACATTTCAACAGACAGTAAACTTTAAATCTACCAATTCTATTGTTGAGGATAAAAAGGCTATAACTAGCGTTTACTATTCCGACGAATGCACAGTTGTTACGATATCTAGAAGTATGGATTATATCATTACCTATTATCTTATCTTAGAAACGAAAAGTGACGTAATACAATTTAAACACGTGATTTATGTCAGGTGATGAAACAGACATACCTTCTGTGGTGAAGATCCTGACATGACTTACCACACATTTCCAAGTCCTCATCTGAATTATCGCCACAATCATCGTTGTCATTGCACATCAATGAATTGCCAATGCATTTCTTATTATTACACTGGAACTGGGATGGTAAACATGGGGAGGATTTCTTTCCTGGAAATTAAGAAAAATTGCCTAATGGATGCTTAATTTCCAGAAAGAAGATTGCACAGCAAACGACGGTAAGACTTTCCATACAAATGTCTTCGTCGTGAGGACTTGATTTCGTGAAAACAGGCAAAAGTGATGTATGTCGCATTTTGATATATTCTTTGTATTCTTATATCGGAAACAATTAATTTTAGGATTATTTTCGCACGGTTCTTAATAGACATTATATCGAATTATCCATTTAGTTTGAATTTAGTCACGTGATCACATCATTGTAGATATTTTTCATTTAACCGCCGCTTGTATGTAAAGTTTATTCTAGTTTCTGTTAAAAAACGTAACAGCAGTACACTGCTGTTATGACACCCTCTGTATATTCATCATCGCAATAAGGAGGTGTAATGACGACGATGATCAGTTGGACGATTCTGTCGACGAGTCATCATTATCAAATTAATATTAATAGGGACCTGTTTCATCAGATCATCAGATATATCTAGATAAAGGCATGTGTTGATCAGATAAACCTTAAAATCGTTGTGTTTTGATCGAAAATCTGATGTGTAAGCCAGAGTAGAAACGTAACAAAGTCAATTAGTATATGACATCGGGTTCGAACTAAGAGCAAATGAAGACATGCAATGGCACGAATTAAACCAAAGGGTGGTAAAAGGGATATGGTCACGAAAGTTGAAAGATGTAGACAGGCTTTAGCTGAAAAACTATTACGCTGGTTGACAATTTGAATGTACGCTTGAAGCCGCATCAGCCCATACGAAGCCATATCACATGATGTAAGTTCCGTTTTCATGCGCGTTGGGAGGCTAAGCAATGTAACAGTTACACATCAATAGCGAAGGTGTTTATTGGCCATCTCTAATGCCGATGTATGACAAGTTGCCATGCGACTACTTAATAATAAAATTAATAAAAATTCAGACTCTTTATCACTCTCAACTGTATTTAACTTTTTACAGAAGGTTATCTGTGAAAATCTTTCGTGATATTCACTGGTTCTATGAAAGACTAATACTTTGTTTCCTTCCTGTAAGATAACATACCTGAATTTACAATGATGTTAATAATTAAGTAACTACTAAATTACTACTGTTTGAAAGTTGACATGTCAAAGTGAAAATATCGCAAACCTCGTGACAAGAAGAGTAGTGTATAAAACAATGATAACACACATAGGTGTTGCAACAATCTAGAGTCACGATACAACCAACTTCAGAACGACCTCTGGAGGTCATTTAGAACATCTGGCGAAGCTCAAAATGTGACATGCGCAATGAAGATCCATCGTAAGCTTATTGATTACGTTTCAAGATGATAACTAAGACTGTTCGTCAGAAAAGGGAAACGGTATCAAAATGTACACTGACCGTTTACAGACAACTTGAATAGATAACAATGGCCTACCAAGACCTCATCTCATCAGCATTAAGGACATTTCAAGTTCTTAAGGAATGACCGTTACATTTAAAAGTCCACTGAATACCGTCTTTGATATCCGATGATACTCAAAATGGGACATTAATAATCAGTAATTATGTTCCTAATGTAATAAGCAGACTTATTAAGTACTTCTCCGGAAATACAAAGCCAGTTCTAAATGTGGCAAGCGCAATCAAGAAATCCGGATTATCTAAATAGAGGAACTCCTGCAATATTTCGTCAGAAATAGTGGTCACAAAATTTGAATGCCACAATATCTAAAATGGTACTTATTTAACTAAATTTGTAATAGTTCTATTTGTTTTCATTTGCTTATGTCATAAAGCGAGTGTGATGTAATGATGTTAAGACCTATTCATTACCGAAATATACCTCGCATAACAACTACGTGCCGTTTCTCACACAAATATGTTTTGGTGTTAGAAAAAAGACGTGCCACACATAACCGAAGCATGAATGTTATTGATGTGACAAACACCATGGACTTATTATAGTTATATCAAATCACGACTTACCACACACGGCCTCGGATTCGTCTGACGAGTCATCACAATCTTCGTAATTGTCGCACTTGAAGTCCCCGGGTATACATTGCCCGCTGTTACAGCGGAACTCGTCAGGGCTACATTTGGGACCTGTCTCGGAACAAGGAAGCATGGTAATATCCGAAGCGTACTAGGGGTGTACGCTACATTTGTACAAGCACATTTAACATACTAAGGCTGATACATATCAAATCCGAAATATAATTCTATATATAAAATATTAAATACGTGGTCAAGTTACAGACTAAGTTGGACAACAAAACTATTAAATACCATAAAAAACAATGCACACATATTGAAATCATAGCAGCATTAGAATAGATGAAATAAACAAGACCTCCCATTAATCCCGTATAAATCCAAAGTGGTTCTAGTTTTATATTGATGTAGCTAAGTATCTTTATCCTACAACTGGTGCCGTCATTGTCAGGTACCTTGTCAGTTTTGTTCTATTTTCCACATTTTAGCTTTACCGTTCACTGTTATAAATTTCTGATGTACAAGGAAATCTTTCCTAAAATAAATAATTTTATTGATTGTGTTAAACAAGTTTATTCAGAAAAAGTTATAACATTCCTATTGTATACTTTGAAATGTGAAACTCATGATATTTCCTCGCGGAGGCATTAGACCTATTTGAGTGCACGTCATTAAGCTCAATTCAAATGAACGTCAGCGACAGCTAATTGCATTTTAACACAAGCTGTTGAAGTCTCCATTATCAAATTTTCAATTAATTTTGTATTACTAATAGAATGCTGTGGCCATAATATTAAAACAGAAAAGACATCTTTCTAAATTCCGGACTGGATTGTCCACACAAATGATTTGTTTTAATCTATGTCAAATACTGACAAGAAGTCAATGTGTTTGAAAAGGAATTTGTGATTGTCCTCATTACTCTGACCCATTTGCACAAAACTTTTGTAAACATTTGTAACCATGAACATAGCAAAAATAGGCTCGGACGATACTATCATTGCTGGGTGCAATTATCACGATTAAAGTGATTATAGATATTTGAAGTCAGTACAATTTCACAGTTGAATGAACCAAAAAACCTGAGATCATTGATGCACGTAGTATCAAAGTGCTATATTTCTTGCAAAGATTTCGCAAGGTTAGTTAAGAGGTATTTGAGAATTGTTGCATTAGTTTACTAATTTGACATGGATTAAGCAATAAAGGACGGGTCCCTGATTTTCTGAGACGATTTAAAATGTAATGTAACCATGACAACATGAAAACATTGGGATAGACAAGAAACAGTTTTATTGAAACAAATGAATTTCTTTTTCTCTTGATAAACCTTGATAAATACATGATATGGTTCCAATGGAAATGGTAATCAATACTGCTGTTATAACGAAAGGCAGTAGTATAAATAGATTTAAATAACATTGACTGAAGAGACTTAATTATTCCTTGTGGAGATAAAAGTGCGTACTAAGGAAAGTGCATACCATAACGGAAAAAAACAAATGTACAGAAAATTGAAAGAATTCAGCATTGATAAGACAAACCAAGCTTTCGGAACACCCAATGACAAATACAGAAGAAAGAGAATGTTGTATATGACGTACAAATAAGAAGACAATTACTCCAAGGAGAGAGCGAAGGAGAAATACATCAAGACGGAAATTACAGACACGGAACTTACCCAAAAAAGGAGGAAATTACAGACACGGAATTTACCCAAAAAAGGAGGAAATTACAGACACGGAACTTACTGAAAACAAGGAGGAAATTACAGACACGGAACTTACTCCAAAAAGGAGGAAATTACAGACACCGAACTTACTCAAAACAAGGAGGAAATTACAGACACCGAACTTACTCAAAAAAGGAGGAAATTACAGACACGGAACTTACTCCAAAAAGGAGGAAATTACAGACACCGAACTTACTCCAAAAAGGAGGAAATTACAGACACGGAACTTACTCCAAAAAGGAGGAAATTACAGACACCGAACTTACTCAAAAAAGGAGGAAATTACAGACACGGAACTTACTCCAAAAAGGAGGAAATTACAGACACCGAACTTACTCAAAACAAGGAGGAAATTACAGACACCGAACTTACTCCAAAAAGGAGGAAATTACAGACACCGAACTTACTCCAAAAAGGAGGAAATTACAGACACGGAACTTACTCCAAAAAGGAGGAAATTACAGACACGGAACTTACTCAAAAAAGGAGGAAATCACAGACACGGAACTTACTCAAAAAAGGAGGAAATCACAGACACGGAACTTACTCCAAAAAGGAGGAAATTACAGACACGGAACTTACTCCAAAAAGGAGGAAATTACAGACACGGAACTTACTCCAAAAAGGAGGAAATTACAGACACGGAACTTACTCCAAAAAGGAGGAAATTACAGACACGGAACTTACTCCAGAAAGGAGGAAATTACAGACACCGAACTTACTCAAAAAAGGAGGAAATCACAGACACGGAACTTACTCCAAAAAGGAGGAAATTACAGACACGGAACTTACTCAAAAAAGGAGGAAATTACAGACACGGAACTTACTCCAGAAAGGAGGAAATTACAGACACGGAACCTACTCAAAAAAGGAGGAAATTACAGACACCGAACTTACTCCAAAAAGGAGGAAATTACAGACACGGAACTTACTCAAAAAAGGAGGAAATTACAGACACCGAACTTACTCAAAAAAGGAGGAAATTACAGACACGGAACTTACTCAAAAAAGGAGGAAATTACAGACACCGAACTTACTCCAAAAAGGAGGAAATTACAGACACGGAACTTACTCAAAAAAGGAGGAAATTACAGACACCGAACTTACTCCAGAAAAGAAAGGAAATAGGACAAATTCATTGGGGTATAATCATCAAGACACCTCATGACAAACTCGGAATAAAGTAGTATTATTGATTTACCAAAAATATAAGAGTAGAAACACGAGTCAGAGAATACGACTAAATCAAGACGGCAAAGAACACTACAAATTTAATACAAAATGACTAGAATAGATAACAAAGTGGACATCTTAACGGAAAAGCTATAAAAAGTTTGTATTGCATTCTAATTGTTCAGTATTTTTGGTATAAATTAATTTATCACTTTTCAATTGTTAGACAAACGGAAGGCAACATATTTTTATTTCAAAGAAGAAAAAATACAACTAGACCTTCATGCATAATAAGAAAGGAAGAAGAATGCAATCAGCAGGTTGTTGTTCATCTGTATATTATATCAACAATTGAGTATTATAAAAAATAGTTTACGAGTCGTGCAACAAAACATGGAAAAATTATACACAAGTGAGTATTTAACACATAAAAATAATAGAAAATGTTATCAGATCGTTGAAACACCTGAAAAAGAGTAAAATATATTAAGGAGTTATGTGACTGGTGTTATACAGGAGAAGTTACTACTAATGTTACACGGTATTTATGGGACCTGTAAGATGTACGTCACCATATAATACTAGGTTATAGTGATTACAAAATACACCCCACACCATCCTAATGCGAAACCTGTTATAAAGCTGTTATAAAGCATGTATTCAATACAAGCTATTTAAAGTTGAAAGCAGGTGGGATGGTTAAAGCAGTCAAGTTGTTGAAGTCTTAAGTCGATGTCAGTATTTTTGATCTCCGTATACTATATCACGACAAGCATGAATTATTAGAAAGTGTTTGTTATGTCTAAATTTACCTGGGAAATCGGAAGGAGCTAGGCTGAACCATCAAATTTGAGATTGCACAAAAGACACACAGGAGAATATCACTTTCAGTACACATTTTGAAAAGATACAGTAAAGTCAAAGTTTGTATAAAATAAGATAATTAACTTTTATATCATGCTAACATTCAAAAGGATTTTATCTCTAAATGACCAATACAAGAGGATGACAGGACACACTTTAACTCTGTATGACCAATACAAGAGGATGACAGGACACACTTTATCTCTTTATGACCAATACAAGAGGATGACAGGACACACTTTATCTCTAAATGACCAATACAAGAAGATGACAGGACACACTTTATCTCTAAATGACCAATACAAGAAGATGACAGGACACACTTTATCTCTGTATGATCAATACAAGAGGATGACAGGACACACTTTATCTCTAAATGACCAATACAAGAAGATGACAGGACACACTTTATCTCTGTATGATCAATACAAGAGGATGACAGGACAAACTTTATCTCTTTATGATCAATACAAGAGGATAACAGGACACAATTTATCTATATATGACCAATACAAGAGGATGACAGGACACAATTTATCTATATATGACCAATACAAGAGGATGACAGGACACACTTTATCTCTTTATGATCAATACAAGAGGATGACAGGACACAATTTATCTCTATAGGATCAATACAAGAGAATGACAGGACACAATTTATTTCTATACGATCAATACAAGAGGATGACAGGACATACTTAATATGACCAATACAAGAGGATGATAGGACAGACATTACATAGCCAATGATCATTCCTTTCGTGTATTCATCAAAACTACAACTGCGGGTAAAACAGAAAACATATTACTACAGAAATAAAACTTAACCCAGTATTATGAAAGGTAGCACGTTCTTCCGCGCGTCAGTACAACGAGGAAGAATTGTTTTCCTGCTAACACCAATAACTGAACACCAGCATGTCACTAAATTCTACTAATTAAAGGCAGGGTAGGTGAACTACAGTTTTAAGTTAAACAGTCGGGATTAATGCCGCGTGATTTCTCGTTAGTTTTTTTTCTAGAATAATATCACTGATGTCACCTCAAACTGTTAGTCCTGCCTTATACAAAGAGTCAGTAAGTTTAGGTCACAGTGGCGTTGCTGGGTAATGAATATCAATATCATGCAAATAGAGGGTTAAGAAAAGATTGGATGAATGATACTGCCTCAACATGGGGTGGATGGACACGTAAAACGGGAGACTTACCACAGTTGACTGTCTCTCCTTCGTCAGTTCCATCTTCGCAATCGTTGTTGCCATCACACAGAAACGATGTAGCTATACATTTCCTAGTATCGCACAAGAACTGACCTTCTGTACACCTTACCCTACTAGGACCTGAACAAAAACCATCAACAAAGCTAACAGTCAATATCTAACGATCGGGAAAGGTCAGAGAAAGGAAGGAGTCAGAGAAAAATGACCTCTATGTGGTTTAGTGGTTTAGAAATAGATATTTCAACCCGTATACAAGGTTTTTGATAATTCATTTTTATTTGGTACTAGACTTTGAAAGTTTTAGAGTGTTTTTATAAAAAATTTCCACTTTATGTGTCTTTGGATAATTAATTAATTGATTATTATCATTATTATTCAGACATTCAGGCACCTCCCGACATGCAGTCGGATATCTTCCATTTTACTTTTAGTTAAAAATATAGCTTAGACCACTGGATAGGCAAACAAAGAAGAAATCACTTCCTACAGAATTAACGTAATGCATTAAAATAGTTTTCTTGTAAATACGTTCTATAAATAGATCAGGTTGGATATACTCACAGTTCCTCTCGTCTGAACCATCCGGGCAGTCAAAGTCGTTGTCATCACATCTGTACAGTGCGTCAATACATGTTCCATCCGCACATGTGAACTTGTCCGCTGGACAACCTGGATGTAACAAGTTCATTACAAAGTTTGGATAATGTTAAGGAGTTAAGGGACTCTACTGTCTACTTACCTTACGTACAACTTACATTACTCTTTAAGAATCATGGTTTGTGGAGCAACATGAACGACAGAAAATATTGTTTTTCGAACAAAATGTGTCAAGATGGTGTCAACTTTTAATACAAAACTCACTTTATAATTAGACTATGCCAATAAAGTTAATGAACTACTCTAAAATTAATCTATTCTAATATACATAATGCTAAATTTGATTATAGAGACAATTCTTAATGACTGCGTCCTATATACTTTATTTATAACTCAAAGCTTCATTGGAAAATGGAATCTTTGTTAGTGATCATAATAGTTTCATAAAAGTTTCAAGAGTAGCCTCCCCTTACCTGGCCGTGGTGTAGTGGGCGCTGGCGTGACAGGTTGTGGAGGAAGAACTATTATCGTTTTATTTAGTTCGTTTATCTTTTCCTTTATTCCAATAAGGTCGATTTCTAAAATTTCAACTCGGTTACAGCATCGAGTCATATTCGTTATAAGTGTCTGGAATTAAAATGGTGAGATCATAGTACAATAAGTCACATGATTGGCAAAAATTTTGAATCTAAATAAATATTCAACAGAAAAATAGGGGTTTTGTTTTCTATCTTGAGAAAATATTGTCAACAGCAATGTTCAAGAATCAAATAATTCCTTTGAACTCTTAAGATTAGGTAAAATTTGTCAACACCGATTGATATATGTTGTATGTTAAATTGATAGTTTACCTGTGTGTAAATGTTGGTTAACTTGGTGAACACCGATTGATATCTGTTGTATGTTAAATTGATAGTTTACCTGTGTGTAAATGTTGGTTAACTTGGTCAGATTTTTATCTGTTGTATGTTAAATTGATAGTTTACCTGTGTGTAAATGTTGGTTAACTTGGTCAACACCGATTGATATCTGTTGTATGTTAAATTGATAGTTTACCTGTGTGTAAATGTTGGTAAACTTGGTAAGATTTTTATCTGTTGTATGTTAAATTGATAGTTTACCTGTGTGTAAATGTTGGTTAACTTGGTCAACACCGATTGATATCTGTTGTACGTTAAATTGATAGTTTACCTGTGTGTAAATGTTGGTAAACTTGGTAAGATTTTTATCTGTTGTACGTTAAATTGATAGTTTACTTGTAGGTAAATGTTGGTAAACTTGGTAAGATTTTTATCTGTTGTATGTTAAATTGATAGTTTACCTGTGTGTAAATGTTGGTTAACTTGGTGAACACCGATTGATATCTGTTGTATGTTAAATTGATAGTTTACCTGTGTGTAAATGTTGGTTAACTTGGTCAGATTTTTGATATCTGTTGTACGTTAAATTGATAGTTTACCTGTGTGTAAATGTTGGTAAACTTGGTAAGATTTTTATCTGTTGTACGTTAAATTGATAGTTTACCTGTGTGTAAATGTTGGTTAACTTGGTCAACATTTATATCTGTTGTACGTTAGATTGATTGTTTACCTGTGTGTAAATGTTGGTTAACTTGGTGAACACCGATTGATATCTGTTGTATGTTAAATTGATAGTTTACCTGTGTGTAAATGTTGGTTAACTTGGTCAACACTGATTGATATCTGCTCTACGTTAAATTGATAGTTTACCTGTGTGTAAATGTTGGTTAACTTGGTCAACACCGATTGATATCTGTTGTATGTTAAATTGATAGTTTACCTGTGTGTAAATGTTGGTTAACTTGGTGAACACCGATTGATATCTGTTGTATGTTAAATTGATAGTTTACCTGTGTGTAAATGTTGGTTAACTTGGTCAACACTGATTGATATCTGTTGTATGTTAAATTGATAGTTTACCTGTGTGTAAATGTGTAAATTGATATCTGTTGTATGTTAAATTGATAGTTTACCTGTGTGTAAATGTTGGTTAACTTGGTGAACACCGATTGATATCTGTTGTATGTTAAATTGATAGTTTACCTGTGTGTAAATGTTGGTTAACTTGGTTGATATCTGTTGTATGTTAAATTGATAGTTTACCTGTGTGTAAATGTTGGTTAACTTGGTCAACACTGATTGATATCTGCTCTACGTTAAATTGATAGTTTACCTGTGTGTAAATGTTGGTTAACTTGGTGAACACCGATTGATATCTGTTGTATGTTAAATTGATAGTTTACTGTGTGTAAATGTTGGTTAACTTGGTGAACACCGATATATCTGTTGTATGTTAAATTGATAGTTTACCTGTGTGTAAATGTTGGTTAACTTGGTGAACACCGATTGATATCTGTTGTATGTTAAATTGATAGTTTACCTGTGTGTAAATGTTGGTTAACTTGGTGAACACCGATTGATATCTGTTGTATGTTAAATTGATAGTTTACCTGTGTGTAAATGTTGGTTAACTTGGTGAAGATTTTTATATCTGTTGTATGTTAAATTGATAGTTTACCTGTGTGTTTATTTTTGTTTTGTTGGTTTACTACGTTTTATATCTGTTGTATGTTAAATTGATAGTTTACCTGTGTGTAAATGTTGGTTAACTTGGTGAACACCGATTGATATCTGTTGTATGTTAAATTGATAGTTTACCTGTGTGTAAATGTTGGTTAACTTGGTGAACACCGATTGATATCTGTTGTATGTTAAACTGATAGTTTACCTGTGTGTAAATGTTGGTTAACTTGGTCAACACTGATTGTATACGTAAATTGATAGTTTACCTGTGTGTAAATGTTGGTTAACTTGGTAAGATTGATATCTGTTGTACGTTAGATTGATTGTTTACCTGTGTGTAAATGTTGGTTAACTTGGTGAACACCGATTGATATCTGTTGTATGTTAAATTGATAGTTTACCTGTGTGTAAATGTTGGTTAACTTGGTAAGATTTATATCTGTTGTACGTTAGATTGATTGTTTACCTGTGTGTAAATGTTGGTTAACTTGGTGAACACCGATTGATATCTGTTGTATGTTAAATTGATAGTTTACCTGTGTGTAAATGTTGGTAAACTTGGTCAGATTTATATCTGTTGTACGTTAAATTGATAGTTTACCTGTGTGTAAATGTTGGTTAACTTGGTGAACACCGATTGATATCTGCTGTATGTTAAATTGATAGTTTACTTGTGTGTAAATGTTGGTAAACTTGGTAAGATTTTTATCTGTTGTACGTTAAATTGATAGTTTACTTGTAGGTAAATGTTGGTAAACTTGGTCAGATTTATATCTGTTGTATGTTAAATTGATAGTTTACCTGTGTGTAAATGTTGGTTAACTTGGTGTCACCGATTGATATCTGCCTGTGTGTAAATGTTGGTTAACTATCTGTTAAATTGATAGTTTACCTGTGTGTAAATGTTGGTAAACTTGGTTAAATTGAACAGATTTATATCTGTTGTATGTTAAATTGATAGTTTACCTGTGTGTAAATGTTGGTTAACTTGGTGAACACCGATTGATATCTGTTGTATGTTAAATTGATAGTTTACCTGTGTGTAAATGTTGGTTAACTTGGTCAACACTGATTGATATCTGCTCTACGTTAAATTGATAGTTTACCTGTGTGTAAATGTTGGTTAACTTGGTAAGATTTATATCTGTTGTACGTTAAATTGATAGTTTACCTGTGTGTAAATGTTGGTTAACTTGGTGAACACCGATTGATATCTGTTGTATGTTAAATTGATAGTTTACCTGTGTGTAAATGTTGGTTAACTTGGTGAACACCGATTGATATCTGTTGTACGTTAAATTGATAGTTTACCTGTGTGTAAATGTTGGTTAACTTGGTCAACACTGATTGATATCTGCTCTACGTTAAATTGATAGTTTACCTGTGTGTAAATGTTGGTTAACTTGGTGAACACCGATTGATATCTGTTGTATGTTAAATTGATAGTTTACCTGTGTGTAAATGTTGGTTAACTTGGTGATCTGTTGTACGTTAAATTGATTTTTATCTGTTGTATGTTAAATTGATAGTTTACTGTGTGTAAATGTTGTGTGTAACTGTGGTTTTTTATCTGTTGTACGTTAAATTGATAGTTTACTGTGTGTAAAAATTGATAGTTTACCTGTGTGTAAATGTTGGTTAATTGGATAGTTTACCTGTGTGTAAATGTTGGTTAACTTGGTCAAGAGATTGATATCTGTTGTATGTTAAATTGATAGTTTACCTGTGTGTAAATGTTGGTAAACTTGGTAAGATTTTTATCTGTTGTACGTTAAATTGATAGTTTACTTGTAGGTAAATGTTGGTAAACTTGGTCAGATTTATATCTGCTGTATGTTAAATTGATAGTTTACCTGTGTGTAAATGTTGGTAAACTTGGTAAGATTTTTATCTGTTGTACGTTAAATTGATAGTTTACTTGTAGGTAAATGTTGGTAAACTTGGTAATTTTTATCTGTTGGTTAAATTGATAGTTTACAAATGTTGGTTAACTTGGTCAACACTGATTTATATCTGCTGTATGTTAAATTGATAGTTTACCTGTGTGTAAATGTTGGTTAACTTGGTGAACACCGATTGATATCTGTTGTATGTTAAATTGATAGTTTACCTGTGTGTAAATGTTGGTTAACTTGGTCTGTGTAAACACTTTGATATCTGTTGTACGTTAAATTGATAGTTTACCTGTGTGTAAATGTTGGTTAACTTGGTCAACACCGATTGATATCTGTTGTATGTTAAATTGATAGTTTACCTGTGTGTAAATGTTGGTTAACTTGGTGAACACCGATTGATATCTGTTGTATGTTAAATTGATAGTTTACCTGTGTGTAAATGTTGGTTAACTTGGTCAACACTGATTGATATCTGTTGTATGTTAAATTGATAGTTTACCTGTGTGTAAATGTTGGTTAACTTGGTGAACACAGATTGATATCTGTTGTATGTTAAATTGATAGTTTACCTGTGTGTAAATGTTGGTAAACTTGGTAAGATTTTTATCTGTTGTACGTTAACTTGGTCAACTGTTGTATCTGTTGTAAATTGATAGTTTACCTGTGTGTAAATGTTGGTTAACTTGGTGAACACCGATTGATATCTGTTGTATGTTAAATTGATAGTTTACCTGTGTGTAAATGTTGGTTAACTTGGTACCTGTGCGTTAAATTGATTGTTTACCTGTGTGTAAATGTTGGTTAACTTGGTCAACACCGATTGATATCTGTTGTATGTTAAATTGATAGTTTACCTGTGTGTAAATGTTGGTTAACTTGGTGAACACCGATTGATATCTGTTGTATGTTAAATTGATAGTTTACCTGTGTGTAAATGTTGGTTAACTTGGTCAGATTTATATCTGTTGTACGTGTGTGTAAATGTTGGTTATTGTTTACCTGTGTGTAAATGTTGGTTAACTTGGTGAACACCGATTGATATCTGTTGTATGTTAAATTGATAGTTTACCTGTGTGTAAATGTTGGTTAACTTGGTCAGATTTATATCTGTTGTACGTTAAATTGATAGTTTACCTGTGTGTAAATGTTGGTTAACTTGGTGAACACCGATTGATATCTGTTGTATGTTAAATTGATAGTTTACCTGTGTGTAAATGTTGGTTAACTTGGTCAATTTGATATCTGTGTGTAAATGTTAAATTGATATTTACTGTGTGTAAATGTTGTATTTTTATCTGTTAAATTGATAGTTTACCTGTGTGTAAATGTTGGTAAACTTGGTAAGATTTTTATCTGTTGTATGTTAAATTGATAGTTTACCTGTGTGTAAATGTTGGTAAACTTGGTAAGATTTATATCTGTTGTATGTTAAATTGATAGTTTACCTGTGTGTTGGTAAACTTGTAAATGTGTGTAAATGTTGTAAACTTGGTAAGATTTTTATCTGTTGTACGTTAAATTGATAGTTTACTTGTAGGTAAATGTTGGTAAACTTGGTCAGATTTATATCTGCTGTATGTTAAATTGATAGTTTACCTGTGTGTAAATGTTGGTTAACTTGGTGAACACCGATTGATATCTGTTGTATGTTAAATTGATAGTTTACCTGTGTGTAAATGTTGGTAAACTTGGTAAGATTTTTATCTGTTGTACGTTAAATTGATAGTTTACCTGTGTGTAAATGTTGGTTAACTTGGTGAACACAGATTGATATCTGTTGTATGTTAAATTGATAGTTTACCTGTGTGTAAATGTTGGTTAACTTGGTCAACACTGATTGATATCTGCTCTACGTTAAATTGATTGTTTACCTGTGTGTAAATGTTGGTTAACTTGGTCAACACCGATTGATATCTGTTGTATGTTAAATTGATAGTTTACCTGTGTGTAAATGTTGGTTAACTTGGTCAACACTGATTGATATCTGTTGTATGTTAAATTGATAGTTTACCTGTGTGTAAATATTGGTAAATTTGGTCAGATTTATATCTGCTCTACGTTAACTAGATTGTTTACCTGTATTGTTCTTTCTAGTATCTTTATCCGCTCTGTAACAATAAATAAAACATTGTAAAATAAAACCTTTAAAGTAATTTCATAAATCATTGAAAAATACACGTTAATAAGTTAGTAAACTCCTAACAATATTGATTCCACTGTGCTGATAGACCTACCCATGTCCACGTCGGTTCCATCTCTTCCGTTCACTCCATCCCTCCCATCAACTCCGTCTCTACCGTTAGCGCCATCAACGCCATCCCTCCCTGGAGCACCTGGCTCTCCGGAAACACCAGGAGCCCCATCGACTCCAGGGGGTCCCGGAGGTCCAAATGGACCTGGTGGACCAGCGGGACCTACGGGTCCTCTTTCTCCACTGTCTCCTGGAAGCCCAGGTAGACCTATTTCTCCCCTACTTCCGTCTATTCCCGGAAGTCCTGGCAAACCAGTTTCACCTGCTGGTCCTATCACACCTCTCTCTCCCTTTGATCCAGCGAGTCCTGTTTAATTCAGAAGTATAACCTAATATAATATAATTACCTCTTCTGTAGTATTGTACAAATTTAGAATACCTTATCTGTAACAAACACAATAAAGTCCATTATCATTACAGAAAATACTAACCATCGCGCCCCCTTTCGCCAGTCAGTCCCATTGCGCCGTCAAGTCCGTCTCTTCCAGTATTACCCCTTGCTCCTCTATCTCCTTTCCGTCCAGGGTTACCCGGTAGACCAGGACTACCGGGTTCTCCTTTTATTGGCTTAAAATGACAACGAATTATTTATAAATCTTGACAGAAACAATCTAAACGAAACACAGTCACACAATATTTTAAGTAGTGAGGGAACACCTCTTGGGCTACGAGAAATACTGACCAAAAAGAAAAAATAAAGTAAGATATTTTTTGCAGCCGACACATAACATCAGTATGAGACATGGCATGACTGAAAATACAAAAACAAATGCAATGCATAAACAGCAAAAATGAGTCTAGAATTATTTTCCTTTTCTAAAATTAATGTTCACAAATTGTTCGATCGAAGGAGGAATTATGCCGGATCGTCCTATCTCGAGTAAAATCGTGTGGTAGTAGTTGTATTGGAATGTAGACCTACATGTATGTTTATTTTGTCTTGCAAAGCTGAAACATGCTTAACAAAGCTTAATAGGAGAAGTGACATTGTATCGGATGTCTCCTTCCCGATATAATCACCTACCGGCATAAGTTTCCAGTGTGAATCAGTAATTGCTTCGCTGATGTGGGTTACGCACCTTTTATTTTGTACTTACAGCATCATGATTTTGGCTGACGTAGTTTTATCACTGATCACATTGAAAAGTTCCAATCCGATCAACAAAATAGATAGTGTGATAATGTAAACAAACACTACGTCATTTCATAAAGTGTTTTGTGGTAGTTATAAAACTACATTTCTCTTTTTTCAAGAGTATATTTCTGATATCCATAATAATACTGTTTCCGGCTTAATGACCATATAAGTAACGGATATTGAAAGGGAGACAATTCTGTTAACCAGCAGGCGTTTCTGCGGCGCACAAGAACTTTGCTCACACTGCTAACTTTTTTCATTGCACAATCAAAAAATGTTTGCGGTGAGCGTTTCAAGTCAATATCTCAACTTACAACTCCATTACTTTCTCCGCCACTTCCAGGAAGCCCTGGCGGTCCGGGAGGTCCTTGTGGTCCTTGTGGTCCTGGGAGACCTATTTCCCCTTGAATTCCTGGTTCCCCATCTTGACCGTCCCGTCCTCTTGGGCCGACTTCGCCTCTCCTTCCTATCAAACCATTAGTTCCGGGTAGACCATCAGCTCCAGCCAAACCTGGGATTCCTACAAAGCATGATGAAAATGGGAACATGTCCAAAAAATTCTGACCATGCCATATTTTATCGATATACTTCATTCTGCTTATTTACGTTGTTAAAAGGAAAAAGAAAATGCCGGACCCTCTCACCCGGATCGCCTTTCCTGCCAGGAAGCCCGGCAAGACCAGTTTGCCCCGGCATCCCATCAGCCCCTTTTGGTCCCCGTGGCCCTCTAGGTCCATCTGGCCCTTGAGGTCCAGTTCGTCCCTGTATTCCTCGCTCTCCACGCTCTCCCTTTACACCATTCCCGGTTGTAACTGTCGTCTGCTCGTATCGAAATGAAATGGAAATCACAAAACAGAACACACACAGTATATTACACAATAAACTATCGGTAGCATTGTACTAAATAACACCTCATACAGTTCCTTACGTGACATGTTTACACATGTGACCTCCCATTTCCCGGACTTTCTTAAATGACATTTCAAACGTCATATAAAGAGGTTGTACAAAATATGAAAATGAATTACACCTGTTATTTTCAAGTATTAGAAAGTCACTTCATATTACCGAACACCTGTCCAACAGTTAAACCGAATTAGGTAGATGACGTTCTAGCTATGGTTTTAGTATTTCATCATGGTCACGTAGCAACTATCAGACACTAGATTATTTTGTAATAATCTCCGAAATTTCAAAGTAATGGCCAACCAGATTTTGATTAAATAATCATTATTATAGATACAATGTACTTACCGTACTCGTTGAACGTCTCTCTAAGGTAGTAACTCTCTCCGTTAAATTGTGGAATTGTTTACAATCAAAACATTCTAAAAATAAAGAAACAATCAGTAGTAAATATCTCCTGAGTGTCTCATAGTGTTTGAAGATGTTGACAGGCCTAAATATGCACTAAAATCAAAGTACGATTTTCAACCACTTGTTAACTGTATATACCGTATATATAATTCATCACAAGACTATCCTGTTTTCAATACACTAATACCCGTCACATATTTATGCCGTAAGTACACATGTTTAATATGACCACACTGAGTTTTGATTGACTGAAGGTTTCAATTAACTCCCTGTGACGTCATAATTCCGTGACGTCAAGTACATTGTTATATACCGACGATGTAGATATTGTATTGTAATAAAATGTTGTTGCTTGCTCGAATGTTGGTCATATTATCTCAGTGAAATGATAATCTTAGAGTTTTTTTTTTATTTCTAATAAGATTTATGGATTTTTTTTTCAATTTTACATCGCTTCTAAATTTGACTCGTTAATAATTTTCTTAAAAATACAAAACAGAATCTTACATTCGTTTCTGATTCATATGAAATTGAGGAGATTTTTATAGAGCCTTTTATATATATCAGATGTAGAACATGTACATGTAATAAAGTTTAAATCAAATCTTGTATAAATGGAAAATGGTACAAGATCCTCTATACGTAATCAGAAAAATTTTACTTACTAGAATCACATTTAGGTCCTTCCCATCCAGGACAACATACTTTTTTTGTGTAAGGTTGTAGTTTGGTATACCATCTATTACGCTGTCTGGAAACGTGAGCACAGTTTCTTATTAAATACGGAAAAGTAAAACTAAAGAAAAAATACTAGCTCAAATAATAGTAAATATTGATCAGCGAAAAAAATAATGCATTTGTATATACATAGGTTAACACAGATATCATGAAACCAGGTGTTTACCACCGGTATGATAATACATTCTTGTTTATAGATACGTGTAAGACTGGTGATTTTTACAACAAAAAATTAGAAGCTTAACGTTATGATATGAATAAACAAGTTTCAATCGCTCCTTGATAAAATCAATATATGCTTCCGTAGTTTTTATATATATATATTCAGCGTCATGCCGTTCAGATGTTAGTTAAACATTTAGTTAGAGTTATGTCCCTTCCTACAGCATTTGTTTTAATTTGTAAATAGCGGCTTGGTAATTAAAGTAATTCTTTTGAAGTTCTGTTACAAATATAATTTCCATTATTGTACATTAGTGTGATATAAATGCAGGCGTGTTTGTTTAATAAAAATAGCATGCCAACTAGACGTCTACATGCTGATGTAAAGTTAAAGGATGCTAAATCATGTTACCGAGTTCAGTGTTCACTGACCCAGTAGATTATTTATCAGACCGATGTGCCTTGTACGGAAAAGTCGTTTCATTAAAACATGAATTGATGTAAATCAGAAAAATATATACCCTTAAAATAGATATCTCAGGATTCATACGTTATACAACAATAATGTTAGTTCATTAGAACAAAACATATTAAAAGGTGAAGTTTTTTTCTGTATCTATGATTTATAGAAAATATCATTAACTAAAACTTAAGTGAACGAGTCAAGAAGGAACTGAGCTGAACTAAACGTGTTTGTAGTGAACTAAGCCTGAATTCAACATAAAGTGTTTGTAACGAAATAACACTGAAACTAAAAGTGTGTAAAAGGAATTAAAACTAAATTGTATGTAAAAAATTAAAACTGAAACTAAAAGTGTCTTGAAGGAATTAAAACTAAATTTGTTTGTAAAGAACTACAGCTGAAACTAAAAGTGTCCAGAAGGAATTAAAACTAAACGTGTTTGTAAAAAATTAAAACTGAAACTAAAAGTGTCTAGAAGGAAATTAAACTAAACGTGATTGTAAAGAACTAAAATGGAAACTAAGAGTGTCTAGAAGGAAATTACACTAAATGTGTTTGTAAAGAACTACAGCTGAAACTAAAAGTGTCTAGAAGGAATTAAAACTGATCTAAAGAGTAACTTCATACTTACTGGTCCCAGCACCACTTGCTTTTATATTCTGTGAAAGTATTAGTACATTGCCTGAAATAAATCATGCCATAACTTAGATATATCATCAACATCTGCTTGGTCGCCAATCAACACACACACCTGATGTCTGAGAAATCAGTCTGACAAACACACAACGTCAACTATTTTTGTTTATTTTCTGTTTACCATGTATCTGCAGTAACAAAATCTTAATTCGTTTGAATAAGAAATACAAATTTAAAATCTATGAAAGAACGAACTTTACTCTTAAACGAATTAATGTCGTTTTTAGATATCTTATTTTGGATGAGACATAAACATCAGGTGTCTGTTCACATAAAAAATCATCAGAAACATTCATCATTGGTGCTCAGCAAACAGCAATGCATAACATATATGAAGTGCGCGTGAATTTACAGGAAAAACTTTATACAAATAGGTGCCCGTGACATATACTGTTAATTTGATATCACACATTATCCTTTATGTCCAACAATCCATATAATTTTCTAAATATCGAATTCCCATCGGTCAAACCGTGTGTATGAATACTGGAAGGGAATTTGTTTCACCAGAGTTTTGTCTTTGTGATACATGGGAATTACTTTAATTAATATTGTTAATATAAAATACTGCTTAATGGCTCCATGGGAGAGTTTTCCTGGGCTACAGATATTACAGACATGTTACAGCAGATAACACCGAGATCTTTCTTCACGATTCCTGTCTGACCTTCATCACCGCTAGGATATCTCTCTATATATACGTCTGACGAGTTCCATCCTTTGTCGGGTTACAACACAGTACCCCTTGCTTGATTTCTCATTGTACTGTAATCGTATTTGATGATAGCATGGAGTGGTCCACCGATTAAAGAGTGTTCAAGTTGGGTTCGTGTTACTATGGGGTTCAGACAAGTAGGTTCACCACTTATCAGAAGCATGAATTAATCTTCTTACGTTCTAATTCAAGATAAACATATGGCGAGAAAACGAGTGGTGTGTTGTCAGTATCTGAAATTACATTTCTGTGTATAAATCTACCGTTTTATATAAGCTAAATATTTATAAATTAATAGTAGTAATTTGTCGGAAAGTGACAAAATTGTATTTGAAACAATAAAACTTGATTACATGCAAATAATTGATACTGAAGGCGGGCCACCAGCCTGCCCCGGTATTGGGCCATTTGATCACAATGCACTAAAATAAAAGCTCCACAACAGGGAACAAATAGGAGACAACCAAGAAATCGGAAACAAAAAATTAAAATGGAGACACTCCCTGGGGAATATACAAGTATATCAAACGTAAGACTTTTTGAATGTAGAAAAGATCGTTCAGCCATCAGAAAAAAACAAAAGCGTTTACTTGTAACCATCATAGATTGCTTTTCCTTCAGGCAGATTGGTATTGTGCTGAAGCTATCTTAAACTATTGAAGGAAACCAAACACTGGTACGGGATCTGGTGGGAGGAATTTACATTATTTAAAAGAATTTCCATAAAACCAACATATGTCAAACCATTGACAGAAAAAAAACTACAGGAATCCTTTCCTTATCTCCCCCAGTAGTTATATAAGTGCTCAAGACTGATGAGGTCGGACTTTTTGTCGACATAATTCATAGAAACCTCATCTGTTGCCGGAACGTTTCGCCGGGAAGAAACACCCTCTATTGATAACAGTAACGAGTCCGATGATTCAACATTTCATGAGTTTCTGAGCACTTATAATACAGCGACATTCATTATTATTAAAAGCATTTAACTTCCAGTTTGATTTTGATGGTAGGTCTCAGATATTTTTAGATTCTTCGTTTCAGAGAATAATGTTGACAATTGTCGTGATGCACTTAAAGCTACACACTCACGATGTATAACTACGTCGATATGATGTCCACTACTGTCGACACTATCATCCACAATTTAGCTATGTTCACAAAAGCAAATGCAATCAGAACTTTACCATTTCGAATGGAATTTCCAATTATCCTTTTCCCCAGTAATGGCTGTTATAAGTCTGTAAAATGATCGCTTCGTGTAAATGTTGTTGATTTCCATGAAAATGTTTTGTTGTATTCGATATCAGGGTTTACGCTGAACAACCTCATTAATTTCAATATTATAGTTATCAACCGAGTCGAAACGACTCGAACACGTACATACCTAACATCACAAAATAGTCATCGTACACATCTCATATTACAAAATAGTCATCGTACATATCTCATATTACAATATAGTCATCGTACATATCTCATATTACAATATAGTCATCGTACATATCTAACATCACAAAATAGCTGTCGCACACAAAGTCGAGATAACACGACCTCATGCATACATATTGTATATATCGACATCCCCAACACAAAGGAAGCAATCTGTGATCTGACAGAATATATTCAGTTTGATATATCTGGTTACTGTTTCCGTGACCTGGTTGATTTTTCGATAGACTTGCTGTAGATAAGGATACGATTAAATCTTGTCCGGTAGTTAAAAAACATAACCTCTGACATGCTGGTCTATCATAAAACTAAAGCTGGCGTGTGTAAAACAACTAAGCATATAATAGAATTATAGGATGAAGAAACAGGAGGCAGCATCAGCTCCATTTGCTGACAGAGTAGAAGGGAAGTCGGGAACCCACTGACGTACAGTTACAGGTGCCTAATAACATTAATTATCTGTTGACCATTTCGTCTCTATGCCATTTCTAGGGGGAGTAACTCCTCCGTTGGTAAGGAGACTATATTCGGTCATATGATAATAACAGTGACATAATACTGTTTCGTATATAACCTAATGAACACATACTCGTTGATGAAGAAAGTTAATTATTCGTTAATTCAAAATCGTTTTAATATTCAATTACATTTTTACAAAAATAAGCCTTTTCTAACAAATGTTCATCAGTGCTTTTATTTAAATACTTCATCGTCAGTCCGATGAGTTGAGCACAAAATGCTTGGACTTGCTGGGTGTTATAGTAACTGTTGTTATAGCCATGCTAGTACAGTGATGAGATTTTAATTTGTGTATACATATGATTATCATAAGATAAAATCCAAAGAATTGCACGTTTCACAGGTACTATTGTTTTACCTGTAAACACCGGGGAAAGGGAAATATTAGGAATTATTTCCCACCCGAGGACCAAGGATTCTCTTTGGTCAATCATTTGTGGCATCATTATAGTCAAAGAAATGTTTTCATTAGCAGTGTTGTTAAAGATTTCAAAACCACGCAACATGTTTACGCTGAGTTCAAAACCTATTTTACATGGAAGTTTTCGTCATTTTGTGTGTGGGATTTCAATAGTTAGCTGATGTCTATTGATGAAAATTGAACAAAATATTGCGCAATTCTGCCTGAGATGTAAATCTGACATAACACTACTTCAGTGAGGTAGATACAGGTAGTTAAAGAGAGAGGGGGCTATATTGTAAGAGATTAGGAAAGGAAACACACCAAATCGAGGTGACAACAAAATAGTTGGTTTTATTTTCAGTCTCTACCTGTCGAGTGACCTACATATTGTAGAAGCTATGTACCTATTATGGCCGACACATGATACTTGTTCACCGGTTCTATCGCACGAACGAAATTTCTTATACATATAAAAAATATCAAACATGTAATCACATGCAAATATTCACCATAAATAGATTGACTGTCAAATTATGATATCGTATCTCTATTTCAATGAAAGTTTTATACAATGCACTTTTAAATGGGAGTATGGAATACAAACTAAGATTAATGAAATTCCATTTCTATTACTACAGCCATTGATTGACAAGAACGGCGAAGTTACGCTTAAAGTTTAAGATGTTTCTTTTATTTCAAAGGGAAAAGTCGTGAAATCTCCATGTTGTCAACTATAGGCTAAATATACACAGGTAGTAACGATCAAAATCAATTATGTCGCCTTCATCTCAAAAGAAAAAGAAGAAAATATTTTGCAATATGTTTCATAACATTTGTTTTTCTGTACGGTTTTATCGACGGAAAACTGGTCACGTGTTCAATGTTAGTTATCGATTCTGTATCTATGATTACCGATAACTCTAGGGATGGAGGAGCGATTGTGTAAATCACGGTTACGGAAAAATGCCGTTCTTATATCGTTTTTTGAGAGAACAGTTGTAGTTAAATGGTTTCCTTTGTAAAGAACTTAATGTTTCCGGATTATCGAAATCCGTATGCAGATGATTACCTACTATACACACATTACCGATATACAGAACGTTTTTATTCCGTTTAGCAAATTGATACAAAAAATGTAAAATTACGACCTATGATATTGACAAACTTAAAACATAAATGTATGTTTTATAAATTATCACCTTCATATACACCACAAAGTAGTTAAACGTTAAACTCACTGTACATAATTCATCACTCGTGTAAAACGAGACATCCCCGCGTGGTGTACGAGATTCACGCCAGATTCCTGTCGGACCACAAGATATTCCTTTAATCACTATGTTTCCCGCTATCTCCTTTACGTGCTGTAAATCACATATATAAGCTTTACACGTGAAATCTTCGATAAGGAATTATCGTGCAGAAAAAAGAGTCAGACTTATCCAAAATGTATGTGTCCTATACATCAAAAGCACACTACAGTATAGTCTTCGTGGGTTATCAAACATACTTCCGTTCATTTTTTAATATTGTTGGTGCATTTACACTACGGTGGGTTTTATGCTATCATATTTGTGGATAAGACATATATAAGGATTTTCTCTTTTAACGACATTTTAAATTCATTTTTTTGTTTATTGCCTGTGACATTAGGATTACCCTCCTTTTCGAAATTTTCGCATCCACTCCTGTTTCTTGTTAGGGGTATCAGGATTATCTCCCTTCTGGACATTACCGACCCATCTCTAGTTTTTGCCAGGAATATCTGGCTTTCCTCCCATTTTCGACGTTTCTGGATCTATCCTTGTTTACTGACAACGACATCGGGAATACTTCTCGTTCTTTATCCCTCTTTGTTCATCATCAGCGATACGATTACTTCTCGTTCTGATATATA